GCGCTTGCCTTGATGTAATTTTTACAACGATGGTGAATTTGTGGTGTGTTTAAAGCTCCCATGGATCTGATCTGTGTGATTTAGTTCAAAGCATTTCACCGTTCTGGAAGCAATCACATCACATCTTACAGTAGGGTGAATTTCCCTTTGCCATCCGCATGAAATGAAAAACAAGGGACAGGTTGATGGCTGTGGATGGGTACTGTACTACTGTCTACTGTGCTTGTGTGGAAACCTTCCTCGGTGTCATTCGAGCTCTTTGGAATACGGGGTGCTTTTTCAACTTCATGTGAATGCTAAATTTCATATTTCTAGAAAATTCATATGAATATTTGAGAAATAAATGGAGATTATGCAATGTCAGATATTTGCTGGAAAATATCATGGGTGGCAAACGTTCTTTTTTGTTTGATGGGCATGGGTGGCAAACGTTAAACGTTTGCAAACCGAGGCAGCAACTATTGAATACCATTATGCCAACGCATGTTTTTCTCCTTCTACAACTAAAAAGAACAAAGCGTGGACACTTTTTTGTGCGACATTTCAACGTGGGCCCATAGTCCTGCCTGCTGCGTTCCCGCATCCCTCGCTCCTACACCTAATCTCTTCAATCCCGCAGCCATGCAACCAATCAAGAAGGAAACTTCCATCATCAAAGACCACACCAACCACAAGCGGCACGTTAGCATGGCTCATCAATCTCTTCTCTCATCACGTATAAAAAGACTAAAAAATGAAAACCGTTTTGGTGCGACAATCCAACGTCAGGTCGTCGGTATGCCTACGTGCGATCCCATGCTCGTTATCCCACCCGGCGTTGTCGCCCCCCACAATGGCCCACGCGATGCTTCTTCCCTAAAAATGCCACTCCACGCGAGAATCACGTGATCACGTCTCATCATATGCCACTAATAGACGGAAACCTACGGCCAAACGACGTCCACCAGTTGTAAACGCTTGTGAAAAAAATCTCAAATTGCCTGGCCGAATAGGAAGGAGGGGAAACGAACGTCCATCTGGGCGTAATTAATGATCGTGAAAAAAAATCTCACGTCTTCGGCCGGCCAAATAGGAAGGGAAGAAACGGACGTCCATCCGGCGTAATTAAGACTTGCGAAAAAATACGTCACTTCTTTTTCCTAAAATCACATTACATGCAAGCCCGGATTTTCATATTCTCTCCTCCTCCTCTCTTTCCTTGTAGCGACAACCGCACAAAAGAGAGGCGGACGAGATCAGATGCCATATCCTGCTTCCCCACCCCACCACGAACCATCGTCGCTCTGGCCGTCATCGATCATCGTAGTGGATCGATCATCGCGCAAGCTGCCGTTCAGCTTGTCCTGCCCGTGGAAGAAAGGAAAGGAACCGCGTCCAGCGGCCAACTGGACAGCTAGCGTGCGTCTCCGCCAGGCCCTCCCCACTGGCTCGCCATCGTCAAAGGATCAGTACGTCTCCGCCAACATTTTCCACCGTTGTTGCCCTCTTGGTAGGGCAAAGTCCATTGTCCTCGTCAGTTTGACAGTTTGGCCGCCGCACCCATCGATCTCGGCAGTACTAGGCGTAACCGCGTATAACCCCGCCTACCGCGTCATCACCTAGGTATATATGTCTCCAAAACTTTTGTGGCCAATCGTCACTTGGTTAGTATTTAGGTTGCTTCTCCAGCTTTCAAGTGCAATTCCTGTTTGGACGTTCCCTATAGTATTCAGGTTGCTTCTCCCGCTTTCAATTTTTTTAGGCCTCCATTTAGGTTCTATGTCATCCAACTAAACAAGCCAGTTAGGAGCAAGTACCGCAATACAAATTTATATTTTTGTTTATGATAATTAACGTTACTTTAGCTTTAAACAATAATTGTTTATATGCGGGGCCATACTTTCATAAACAGGACAGCTGCAGATGACATATTAAGATCGAGTTTTGTCCTAGCAGTTTGCAATAAGATTGTTTTGATTTCTTCAAAAAATAAGATTGTTTCGATTTTATGCTAAAACTTAAAATATATTTTAATTGTTCACGCATCACGAAGACGGATTTACAAAAAACTAACGTTCTGAACATCTCTTAAATTACGTTTTAATTGTTCATGCATCATGCTTATGTCGGCCCTGTGCGTGCTGGAGCTTTGGCCAGCAGATGGCAGGGCAGTAGCTATAGGAATTAATATGCTCTATTTAATTATTCTTTGCAATATTATTTGCTTGATCATAAGGCATAAGAGCAGGAGAGCATAGCAGTTCTTTTTTAGTTCAGTAGTTGAGTCATCTTGCGAACAGAAGCACAATGCAATTTATTCATGATTCAAATTCTATGTTTTTGAAGCTTCCTATAATTTTCGTTCTAATCCACATATAGTTTTCGTGTTGCAGAGGCTATACTACTGGGAGCAAGAATGCCACAATAGCTGGTATTGTTGTGGCAGTTCCCATGGTGTGTAACTGTTTTAGTGTTATTAGTAGTATATATTTAGTTTATGTGGACTTCCTACCAATAAATTAATGAACATGCTTAAGAGAGGGTATATCATCATTTCGTTTTCTTTTGTGGAAATATATGCATCATTTTGGTATTCAGATCAAGCAGTGGTGATCTAGCCCCGAATGGCCGCGCTAGGCCGGCGGGCGCAAACTTCGTGGCACTCGCGTCCGCCCGGTAACGCAGCACTCGCGCATCCTCTTCTCTGGTATCATCTCCCTCCCTCCACCGCCGCAACCGCTGGGACACGCAAAGGTGTGATCTTAACACCGGATTCGGCTCCCCTCGCGCCATTGGTCTCCAAAGGCATCGTCTTTGCTCTGATCTGTGGTTTTGTGTGGTCATGGGTTGCTTGTGATCTCTTCTCTTGGGGCGGTTTCCCGGCTGGTTACTGACTTAATGTTGCGGGACCGGAAGTGGGTCGCTAGGCTATAGTTCTTGCCGCCGTGGAACGCCAAATCTGGAGCCTAGAGGAGAGTGGAGGTCTCCACGCCTCGTCGATGTCCGGTCAAGGCTATCCATGCAGAATAAGTTGTACTTTGATCAACTTCATAGCAAGTGGTGATTTTGAGTAGTTAATACCTTCTTGCCAGATATATTTTAATCTACCTAGATAGTGGGGAAATAACAAAGGACACATGAATACCTCCATATTTTAAGTTTTCCTTTTGCATAATACTATATAAAACTTGACTGTGAACAGGGGCCATGGCAGCTTAGGAAGCCGTCTGCAGGGATCTGGCCTGTTCGCTGGTTGGTTTCTGGGCTGATAAGCCTGGCCGATGCTGGTTTATTGTGAGAGAAAAACACTATTGGCTGGCTGATAAGCCCTGACTGAAACCAACCAGCGAACAGACTGATCATCTCCTATTCCAGAGTCACTGAAAAATGTTTAAGTTAAAAAAAATAGAAAGAGATGCTTCTTGTTTGACTACACTGTCTATCCCTTCTTCTCTATACAACACCGAGTTCTGAAATCTGAATTGCATCCAAATTTTGCTTGCCTCCTGTTTCTAGAAAGGATGAGTAGCTTTATTGCAATTTCATGATCTATGACTTCTTAAGGATGATAATCCCATTATAGTATGTTAGAATTATAGTCTGTTCGTTACAAGTCTTTTTATATTGAAATGTTTCAAAGATGCAAAGACATACTGAACTGGATCATAATTCAATAGTAGAGCATATGGTCGAAGGTATGTTATGTTATTATCTAAAATACGAAGAAGGATGATCTTGATATACCAGTCTTGTATGAAGCAAACTGATAATTCATGAGGATGGTTAGTTTTAAAAGGCCGAGAAATCAATTATCTTGTTATAGTGATATGAACTTTTATGTGCGTATACACAAATATACAATACTATAAATGCATACATTGACGATTGCAAACCATCGATGAGAGTTTTAGCCATGCACAAGATTCAATTTGTAATATTGAACATCATGCTCACATTATCGTTTTTTTAACAATACAACACGTTCATGCTCAAATTATTAGGACAATATTTATCCTGTTGCAACGCACAGAAAGATCTATACAGTAGAGTTGGTGAGCCTGCGACGCCGCGCTCTCCGTGAGAGTGTTAATTTCACGAACTTTGCTTTTTAGATTAAATATTATTTTAACGTCAGTATTTAATTTCACAGTATTGTTATCTTATCGTGCGATCCGTATGTTTTTAATATAAAAGTTATGTTAATTTTACGAAATTTGCCTTTTGAATTAAATATTATTTAAACATCGGTATTTAATTTTATAGGATTGTTATCTTATCGTGCGATCTATGTATTTTTAGTAAAAAAAGTTTCGCACGGACACGCTGCATGGTATTTGGAAAAAAGAAAAAAAAAACCATTATGCGTTTCCGGCCGTAGCAGCCGGCAGGGAGTATCGAGGAGCGTCTCCTCCTTCACGCGGGCGCCCGGAGCCATCTCCACCGTCAGTGGCGAGATCGGACGGCCGGCTGGAGGTGCTGGGCCCATCCATCCCCGGGGTCCTGGGCCCACCGTCCCCCTCTTGTATACAAAACGTCGGACGGCCGGCTGGAGGTGCTGACCCCGCCGATCCCGCCGCCGGTCGCCATCCATCTCCTCGCCGCTGCCTCTCGGTAAGGCCCTCCCACCTTTGCCCGCTCTAGCCTCGGTCCGTCGTCTCTTTTCCCTGCCCTGATTTGCACCGTAAGCGCCTGAATCTAGCCGCGATGTGAGATCCGCGCCCATTTCTGGATTCCGAGCCTCCGCTGCCTGTCGGTAGACGCGGATCTGTTGGCGTTTGTTAGCCACCGCCGTCGATCCGCAGGGTATCCCCTCCCCGGGGCCCCTGGCTGCGGCGGATCTACATCCTCACCAAGTGTTGTTGGCAGATCCAAACAGACTTTGATATTTCCAGTATTTATCTGTTAGTCCTTGAAATGAAATCGATTTGCATTGTCTCTCTTGTTCCTTTGTACAATGTGTGTTGAAATAATGCTTGGTACCTGATTAAATCCTTGTATAGTTTCTCTTTTCAATAACCAAGATGAGCCGTGGTGGTAGCACCGGTGGTGGTCAAAGTTCTCTGGGCTACCTCTTTGGAAGCGGTGAGCCCCCCAAACCGGCAGTGGCACCAGCTGCAAGTGCTCCACCTGCTGAGAAACCACCTGCTGCAAAGGCTAATGTGAACAAGCAGATTGCTGCTGGGGTTACCAGACAAACCAATAACTACCACAGGGCTGATGGTCAGAACACCGGGAACTTCCTTACGGTATGCTAGTTTACGTTCTTTTCATTTCACATAAGACTTTGTTTTACATATTTACTGTTGCCATCATCCATTGATATGCTTAGAAATGATGTCATATTTTGTGGGATGTTAAGATGAGGTATAATCATGTTATGGGATAGCAGTATGGTAGTTTGTGTAGGCCTGGGCGTTCGGGTTACCCGATTTTTTCGGGTCGGATAATTCGGGTAATTCAAAATTCGGGTAATGGAAACTGTTACCCGATATTTGTCATGAAAAAACACTACCCGTAATTTCGGGTACCCGATAATTCGGGTTCGGGTATTCCCAATATACCTGAATTTACAAAAAAAACAGCAAACTACTTCTCTCTGGAACAAAACTACAGCCGCAATTGCTTATGCATTGCAATGAAAATTCATCCATTAGGACTGCTTCACATAGGTGAGGCCTAAAATCCCCACTTTATCATAAAAATATTCTACATATGAGGTGGTTGCATGATATTTGTATTGTTTTTAAAGTCACCTGAATTGGCATATAGGTCAAGTCATTAATGTAGACTATAATGAAAACATCTACTTGCAACTAAACACGAAAGGGTACTATATAAGACTCATATTCCTTGGATCATACCAAATTATTATATATATTAAGAGACTTGGCTCTTCGTACGCTAACACTTCAAGAAATTGTATAATTGTTAGGTACCTACTGTAGGGGTGTTATAGTGAAAAACAATTGGTTGATCTGTTAATTTTTTGTGCCTACTGGTGAATAGATACTTGCTGTGATGCAGTCCTCATTTTGCTTGTGGCTTGGTCCTGAGTGGATAACATTGGCTATGGCAAAACAATTGGCAACAAAACCCAACTTAGAGGTGGCTAGCATTTTGAGGCGACCTCACCCCTCGCATCGCCTCATTCTGCACCTCTACTGCGTGGTGGCATCTCCACTGCACCCTGCACCGTCGTCCCTGATTCAGAACTGACTCCCTGCAGCCTCCAGATTGAGAAGCAGAGCCGATGGCGCCAGTTCCCTGAGTCTGCTTGTTGCTCCCTGACGGTTTCATCCACACCTGTGGTGGACGAAGCCTTGCCCACAGTGAGCCCCCTTGTTCCCCTCCGTTCTGTACTCTTGGCATGACAAATTTTTCATTTGTTTCTATAAAAATGGAAGCAAAATTGTTGTGCTGTGTGTTAAATGAAACGTAATTTCTGTGGGTGTGATAAATAGAAACGAAACTACTGTAGGTACGTTAAATGGATTGCCCTGGTTGTATACAATGGTCAGGATCTTCTTCTTTTTGTTGTTTCCTTTTGCCCTTCATAACTTATGTTTTATCTATTTCTTGTCAGTAAACTGCACCTGTTCTGCATGTACTTTCATTTCTCGTTTGTTTATAAGAATTCAGATGATTATTTATCCAATAAATAAACAATAAACATGAGTTTGTCTGGGATGATGCACATATGCAAACCTCTAGGTTGGTTTTGTTGCCATTTTGTTTTGCCGTAATTGATGGTATTCACCCAGGACCCAAGCCCCAAACCCCAAGATACAGCATCGATGGACATTGAGCGATGCAGGATATGGTGGCCACGCCAGGAGCTGCAGCTCAAGCACAAGCCTTTCTCACTGAGGCTCGTCCTGTTCGGATGGTTCTTCAGCAGTGCTGGTTCTATCGACATCGTCATCTCTGCAGTTGTGCCCCAAGATCACATCCTGCGCTCTTTTGCCACACTCGACACCCTCCAGGTCAGTATTGATGATTCAGGTTAAACATAGTTTACCATTGTTGCTTCATTATTGGGTATTTTTTTGGTAGATGCATGAACTCATATTCCAGTAATCTATGCGCCAAATGCAGTATTGTGAGATTCTCTTGTAAAATCTTAGTTGAAGGTGAGGAAGTGGTCCATTTTGTATTTTAATCCCAAAGTAACGAACTGCTTTAATCCAATTTAAAATATTAAATGTAACTGATGAAGATTTTGGGTGCGGTTATAAGTTTAGTTTCTGTTCAGAGGAAATTAGCCATTAAAAATGTTGTGCTGTCATTTAGATGTCCAATCCAGTTTACTGTAGGTTCTTTAATGATATAGTTATTTTTTCTCTAATATAGAAATAGACCTATTGTAATAAGGTTCAAAGGGGCGAATTCTGGTATCTATTGTAAATGTGCACCCAAGAGGAGTTTTCTGTTCCTTTCAAAGCCACCCACCATCAGTAATAAAAGAATAAAGTGGGACTGTGTGCTACTACAAGGCCAAGTTGATTTTGCTAGTTGCTTGAGTGTCTACAGCTGATGTTCTGTTATATTTGTTGATTTGCTGTTAAAGAACAAGTTGTGCTTCACAACAGTCGAGGTATGGGAGGGGGTTAGGGAATTAAGTGGCTTAGGAATCGAAGGGCTATGGCTCCTGTCCTGTATGTTGTTTTTTATTTTGACATGCATAAATCAAATCCTCCAAACTTGTGTTTTTCAGCAGATTTTTTGGTTCCTTCTAGCATGAAAAAAACGTTGAAGCTCTAGCGCTACAATAATTTTAGAAAGTGACAGTTAGCTACCTTTACTGGTGATAACTTTTACTCATGCAAATACTACTTAGCCGCTTCTACCTAGCCGCTTCTTCTGGTGATAGCTTTTCCTCATGCAAGTGCCACTTCCTCCTTGTCATGGTCTTTCCTTTTCATCCTACATCCCCTCGTTCACTCTTCTCTGTTCTCACCTAGTCACCTTCCTCCTTCCTCCTTCCTCTCCTCTGGCCCTCCCCTGCTTCCTCCACGAACTCTGGTGCAGTGGTGTCTAGGCGGCGCTTAGCACATAGCATTTTTTTTTAAAAGTTGGTCCTATCTTTACCACGCATCTGTACTAACTTACTTTTTTCTTGAGTTAAAGATTTTGTTTTGAGGCCCATCTCATCAACTCCAGAGGTTGTTTTGCTATGTAATGCTTGTCCTTTTTCCTTGCTTGGGGGGAACTCTAGTAATCTACTGCTGAAATCATGTTCTGTTTATCTGTTTCATTTAATTTTGCAACATGCATGTTGAAAGGCAGAACCTCTGTTTTTTTGCTCAGCTACTGATGTAGCTGCTAAAACTCTCCAAAAGAAAAAAAAACTGCTGCTAGAGTATGTTTATCTTGGTTGCTTATATTTTTCACAGCTTCTTCTGTCAATGTTGTCTCTCATGTTAGACCATCGTCCTTTCCTCAAATAAAAGGATGCCAGTAAGCCTGCAAGAATCTGCTGCATTTACCATTCTTGGGGATTGTGGCCGACACCCCCCTAAAGAGTTAGAAGAATACTGCTTTAATAAATTAGAGCAGCTGCCCTTGGATGCAAACGTTGTTCAGAAAGAACATTTTGGCACAAGAAGAAACAATGCCATGATTGGATCAGTTGGGAATGGGGATCAGGGTCCAAGTTATGATCATAGAACATGGGGATGCGATTGTTGTGTGTTGGATGGTTTTCTGGATGCTTGCAGAAAGTCTGCAGTCAAAGAGGGCAGTTGGGTGCACTTGTGTCGGAAGTTTGGAAAGAACTTTAAGAGCAACCTGAATCAAGTTCCAGTTCTTCACCATTTGTATCTTGATGGCCAACAGATTGCAAACAATCGTTGCCACGTATGTAAGTCAAGGCTCTGTTTATAATATCCTTGTATTAACAATTTTTTGAACTGTCATGTTTTTACGCCTCTTTAGTTATTCTTCCTTTTGCTCTGACAAATTGATGAGATATTTTATTCAATTTATTCTAGGTCATACTATATGAGGTTCCGACCATCGGCAGAAACCATTTTTCACTGGGTTTGGATGCACCTCGTAAGTTGAATGTTTCATTCAAAAAGCCAAATTGGATAAATGATTTACAAAAGCAACCAGCATTTCTTGATTTGGTATGTGCATGAGTGGTTTTGCTTGTTATTTATTCCTTTTTTTTTTGTTAGATGGTCTATTAAGGCAGTTCATGTTTGTTTGAAGGATTCAATTGTTTTGGCGCTTAATTGTTCAAATGCAGCTAGACTGCCAGACACTCAGGAATGTTCTACCACAAGCTCTGGGGCTTATTTCATCTCTGCATCTGTGTAAGCACTATTGTTAACCTTCTCCACTCTGCTCCTTTTATCTGCTCTTACCTTGTTACTTGCTTATTCAGATATGATGTCTTAGTTCAAGTAACATGGCACTGCGTGGGGATATTTTTGGCTTCAGCATCAACTATTCTCTACATCATGATTCTAATGTTCCGGAAATGTTTAAGCCATATGCCCCAGTACTTGATGCTAAATAAGGTTTTCAGACATTCATGGAATAACATTCATCTTCGCAGCTGTCAAATTCTCTACTGGCCAATTGTCCTCCAAGATGCTTCCCTAAGGTAAATTAATAGTGGATTCATAGCTTCTTAATCTGTACTGTAACTTTAGTCGCCGTTTTAATCTGTTGTGTCATATTGGCATAAAAGTTTGTGCTATCCTTATAAGTTAACATATACCAAGGCGAGGCGTGGCGACTGACTACCGCCTTACGCTAAAGCGACTAAGGCGTGAGGCGAGGCGACGCCTTAACATCTTAAGGGAATCTTAAAAGAGCAGCTTAGAGTGGTAGATAATGAAGAAAAACAAAAAGGAAAAAGGAAAAAGAAAGGAGAAGGAGCAAGAAGTAGTCTGGCCCAGCCCACCAGGCAGCCCATATACCCCTCACCTTTGACCTTCCTGCTTCATCTCTCGAACTCCCAATCCTCTCTCTCCAGCGCCGCCGCACCTCTCTCTCTCTCTCTCGTTCTCCACTGCCGCTCCGCCTCCACCCCTCTCTGTCTCTTGCTTCCCTCTCTCCTCCAGATGTGCTGCTCTTCTTGCTTGATAGACGGAGGAACAGAAGGGCTTTGGACGCTGCAGCTCGATGGAGGAACAGAGGAGGCAAGATGTTGCAGGTCAGCGCCGATTGGGGGAACATGGCCGCAGCCCGCACAGGCGGCCGCACGGCTCGGCGGCAGGCGGGCAGCAACTTCTCCCGTCGGCGCGGGAGAACGCGTCTGCACGGGCGAGCTGCGGCTTCTGGTTCCCCTCCCGCTCTCCTGCTGGTGAATCTCCTGCACGCCCGCTCTCTCTCTCTCTCTCCCTCCGGCGCGCTCTGTTTCTCCTGCGCACCCCTTCTCTCTCAGTTTTCCCCGCCGTTTCCTACCGTGGCCATCCCTGTATGGCGCCCGCCTTGCTCGATTTCGACGAATCGGACGCCAAATCGACGACTTCTGGACGCCATGATAGTAAGGCGGACGCCATACCAATCTGAGGCGAGTCGTCCGCCAAGTCGTCCCGTCTGTAGTGCCTTGCCGATTAGGCGACGCCAAAGCGACGCCTTAAAAACATTGTTACTAATCTTACATGGTTATTTTAATATGCAAAAGAGAGTTTACTGGTTCACTTCCATTTTGTTGTTTCATGTAATCTTTGTATTATGAATATTCAAGTGCATTTACATTCAGTACATAGTAGTTATCATATACTCAAGTCAAGTGCAGATTATTGAAAATACTAAGCTTCACTTAATTATTATCGGCTCAGCTCCACTGTGAATGTCGAATATGTGCACAAAGCTGCAATACGGAAGCATGCTTTGTGGTCAAGTATCATTGTGGATCTCCTGATGGGTTCTGTCCTTGGAGCAGCATTCTTGTTAAATACAGAGACTATTTGTATTTGGACTATTGCTCTCGTCCACCACATGACAGAAGCAATCTTGAGATCTGGTTGTGTGTGGCTGATGGGTGTTCCAGCTGGTTTTAAGCTGAATACAGAGTTAGCAGAGCTCTTAGGCATGATTTCTCTTAATGCAGTTCAAATTTACTCTACCCTTTGGTTCTTCGTGGGAGGCTACCTGAGGCATATAATTCAAGGCATTGCAGTCTCTGGAATTATTTTAGGTCTGACAACTCCAGTTTCTTTCTTTATTGACATTATCCAGCTTGCTACGTTGCATGTTACCATGCTTCACTGGTTAATCTCATCGTTATATTCAAGACAGATTCAGACAGTAGCATCATTGTGGCGTCTTTTCAGGTAACATACTCTTGGTGCACTCATGTGGTACTTGCCGAATAAGAGGGTACTAAGTGCAACATATGTTTATTACTGAACGACTGACGAGTTGATCAATCGCTAAACATTAGCTCTTATATCACCTTTTTTCTCTGTAGTTTGACTTCGACAAATACGTTTGGTTATACTAAATAAATGGTACAAAATGCATCCTTGTCTATTTGAATTTTGGCGCCTGTCTGACTGTATTATTTTATTGATACAGAAACATGAGGGGTTTGAATATACCTAAATTTGTAGGTCTTAAATCCTTAACATGACAGAGCTGAGCTAGTTTGGGAAACAAAAAGGTTCGGGTTGAGGGAACTGCCAAGTTATGTGTAGTTGTGTACATGGAAAAGTGAAGGCACAGCCTTGACTAAAATCCTAATCATCCATAATATAAAAGTAAAACCCCTAGCTAGATCACTTTCCCAAACTAATGAGACAACTTCCGTGAATTTAGCAATAGGAATGGGAAAATTGGTTCCATAGCATCAAAAGATCATAACTTTGGAATTGCCTTCAGATATTGGTGTTCTGTAAAATACAAGGGACATAATGAGTCCGTTTCAAATTCTAGCACTCTGTTACCTCGCACAAGACTGCAGGCTGTTCTCTGCTCCATTTTGAGCTGATGGATAAGGGAAAGATTTTGCCCTTTGGTCGTTGCACTGAAACTTGAGCATTGAGAACGGGTTGGTCAAACAGATTGACCATGGCTGCACTCACTGGCGGTGATGTCGACCCCTACGGCAGCCAGCGACTGACATGGCTCGCCGTGCTGATGATTCGCAGGGGGAGGCTCTGGGCTGGTGGCTCGAAGGAGAGGTCGGTAGCACCGTAGCGGCACTAATACGTGATGGCAGTAGTGTCATCCTCAATTCCAGCGTGGTCTGTGAGGGTATCAATGTAAATGGGGTTCAAATGATGCACGGAGAAGTGAATCACAGGGAATCATGAGGGGGAGGACTCCACAGTGTGGCTGGAGGACTAGGGTGCGGTGCCGCTGGAGACGGAGACGGTGGCAGTCTGTGGCATCGGCACAGTGGGCTGAGTTTGATGAGCCCTCAATGTCCAGCGCTGCCAGGAGGCCATGGCCTGCCGGCAGCGCAAGATGGCTAATGTGAAAATGGAGCTCTGCCAAATCCTCCGCTTTGTCTACGAGAAGATGGTGCTTGACGGTGCTTGGCGCCACTGAGATCTAGTAGTTCCACACACTCTTGGCCCAGCACGCACGTCTGCTGGTGTGACTCCACGCAAGGGGCCCTGAGTATCGGCTGCAGTTACTCCACTTTGGCATCATGAAACCCAAGTCTGTGGATGACTACGTTGATTGTGATGTGGCTACTACCTTGAGTTCGCTGCCACGAGCCCACGGGGAGTACTACCATGAGGACGAGCCGGAGGAAGAGGATGCGGTTATGCGTATTGCCTGCTCCTTGCCTTGGCTGTTTTCCTAGGCACAGAAAGCAGCAGGGAGATGTGCTTCCGTAGGCGAGGGCTAGCATTGCCTGATTTAACACCATTAGGAGCAAAAGTAATGGAGTGGTAAATTTGGAAAGCCTCATTCTTGCCATGGTATCTTACAGAATGTTGATTGATGGTATTTCTGAAAGCGGTTGTCTTTTGATGCTCTGGAACCAATTTTCGAAGGGCGGGCCTAGTGCAAGCGGTAGAGTCTTACCGCCTGTGACCGGAAGGTCCCGGGTTCGAGTCGCGGTCTCCTCGCATTGCACATGCGAGGGTAAGGCTTGCCACTGACACCCTTCCCCAGACCCCGCACAGAGCGGGAGCTCTCTGCACTGGGTACATTGCAGATTTTCTTTGCCAGATTACAACTATGTCAAGAAGGATAAGCTTGACTGTGATTAGTTTTCACTTCTCTTCATGTATAGAAGCTAGTAATGGAGCCAGATAACTTAATGTGTGTAAAAGCATAATGTTTGCAGCATAAACATTAGCTAATTTTTTTAATATTGTTTCTTTCTTATCATTTTTATTGTCAGTTTTTTTTTTCATATTTGCTTCGTAAGTTTGTTAACACTTGCTTATGCCGTAACAGAGGGCGCAAATGGAATCCTCTTAGGCAGAGGCTAGATAGTTATGACTACACAGTTGAACAGCACGTTGTTGGTTCCCTGCTGTTTACACCAGTCCTACTTCTTATACCTACAACTTCTGTATTCTATGTATTCTTCTCTATCTTGACAACAACGGTTATCTGGGTGTGTGTGATGCTGGAAATTGTCATCGCTGTAATCCAATCCACTCCTTATGCTGAGTTAACTCTATGGATGATGAGGAGGCACATATTTCCTGCTGGATTATTTTTCCTTCATGTGACATCAAGTGGACATACTTCTGAAGATGGCGACCTATCAGCCCATCCAATCAGATGTTGCAATGAAAGGAGAAAGGAGGATCTAATCGACAAACTATCAGAATCATTAGTTTCAGAACTTCATTGCAGCTATGCCACTCTTGGTAAAATGTTTCTCTTGACTTTTGCTTAGACCAGTCTTAGTTGAATGGTTGATACATTCTTTGTTCGATACCTAATTCTACAATAAATGTCAGCAGCAACATGTCCATGTTGTTCTACATGCCTAGTTTCTGTTTATTTGAATCATATATATATATTAAGACGTGTAGTTTAGAACATACTGAAGCCCAAATGTAAATAGCTTGCCAAACTTTTGAATAGTTCTATTTTGCAGCCTTGCTTTATGTTCATATCACCAATAGTGTGCTTACTTTTTGTCAATAGAATGCGTCTTGCAGAGGCACTAGCCTGCAGTTGCTCTTTTGCTGTTCCACTTGCTGGTAATCTTCCTAACATAAAGGATGATATATGCAGTTCAAGTAATCAGATCAAATTACGAGAGAGTTTTCAACAGGACTGGTTACTCCTTTTGCAAACAATTGGCATACGGGATCCTTAGCGGTGAAAGGTAATCTATCAGTTTGATTTTTACCCTTTTGATGGCATTTGTTTTAAACTCCTTGTTTCTTTCTTCAGGGTGCCTTCATCGCTGCATCTGCAGCCGTCTCCCTCATTTCCCTGGATGAACATTGGTATTACAGAGTATTGGATGCACTGCTATGTTTCTGTCCTTCAGTGTGCACCAAAGAGGTGATTCAATGAAGTTTTGCATTAGCCTTCTGTTTTTATCGCTTAATTTAGCAACATGATGAAAATTTCTTGTCCCATCTTTTGTGCAACACTAATATGGCAAACATAGTAATTTTTTACCGCATGCCACCCAATTTTTATCTGGTCATGCTCGTCTCTATACACCAAATAAGCATAGTATGAAATATATTTCATGATGACTCTAATGATACTTATCTTGTATTGTAAATAACTAAATATGAATACTTTTTATGTAAACTTAGTCAGGTTTTAGATGATTTGATTTAGGGCAAACTAGAATGACTTTCTTTTTGGAAGGGATGGAGTATTCAGCTGTCATACTGGAACCTTCATGCATGCATCAGCTTTTTTACCACTAGAGTTGTCACATTTGAGCTGATCCATTTTCTCATATGATTGTCATACATTCCATGTCTTGTTATAGTTTTGATTTGCACTTTGGATTTACGAACAAGATCTCACCAATTGCTGATATTTTCAGAGGTCCATGACGATTGCATTTGAATGAACCTTGGTTCTTTTCTGCTGTTTTGGTTTCACTAGAGCTTTTTTATAGTGGTGGTTGACTGTTCTGGAGGCAAGGGAGGGTCATCTTTACACTCATGGAGCCTTTTTCCTTTTAACAGTAGCGGTACGAGATTTTAAGTCAGCTGTAATTTTATAGTTATATGTGATTTGCACGATTATGGTGCTGCTATTTGACACTTGCGTGCTAGCTGTGTTTACCAACTAGACTGATGGGTGAGAGAAAAGAACTCATGCTCTGCTGCAAAGATGCCTTGGTCAAACCTCATTGTTGGTTCACGCTAATAGCTTTTTGCAGATGGTGTACTCCCTCCATACTAAAAAAAATAAAATAAAGTCGTTTTGGATAATGTTTGGATTAAACATTGAGAATATAAATCATGAATAACTTTTAAGTTGTTGAGTTTGGAAAAGTAAAAGCCATATAAATAGATTTGTCTTGAAAAATACTTTCATAAAAATATACATATATCATTTTTTGATAAATATTTTTATAAAAACAAGGAGTCAAAGTAATACTTTGGAGACCGTGTTGCTGTCCAAAACGATTTTATTTTTGAGTATGGAGGGAGTATATGGCATGCTGGCACCCATGGTAGCAGGATATTTTCTTTTCAAATATTTGGGGCTACCTGACCTTGCTTACCCAAAAAGCCGGGTAGCTTTATTAACTTGATATACTATGCGTTGGTGATATTTTGACAATGTATACGAATCGAGAAGTCGTAGCGTTCTAGCGAGCTGTCCAATTTTCCACTTTAGATCATTCGTTCGCGGCTCTTAAATAAAAAATAAGAAATACGACCCTGCTGAGGATGTCATTTATTACTATGGGACTTTCAAACAAGTTTAGAAACCATAAAAGTGCATTTTAAGAGTTTAAAAACCTTAATGCATGTTCACTGCAGCATTTGCGTGGGGAAAAAAAATCTGCATATGTGATGTAGAAAATCTCACAGGCAATACTACTGTTTTGGTGCCATCAACCGGTCCTAACTCGACTTGATGGGGCACTGTGCTCCGTGGAAAGTTCAGGCGGCAGCCTCGACCATGCATACAACCGGTGTTGCTCTGTTGCATGAGAGATTTTCCATGACACGAATGCAGAGAACTTTTTTCCTGGTCGCTAACCGCATAACTGCAGAGAATTTCTTTTTCCCTGGTCGCTAGGCACAAGTACTCATTAAGTTTGATAAAAGAAAAAGAAAGATAAAAAGAAAATATAATTAGTATGTATCGTAGCAAAAGAGGTTATGAAGGTAGAGAGACATAATCAGGGAGTATGTAGTCGGACTGGACTCTAAAGATTTTCCGAGTCTCAACCTGTACGGATCTGTGCGAGGGACTCGAACCCCTTTATAAATTCACCCGACCCTAGGGCAAAAACCTCGATGAAAATCTTGTGTGCAGGCTGCAACGACACGATTATATAGAGAGAGGAGAAAGAAAGGCGAGCCGACAATCTCGTCGACAACTCGGTGAGTGACACGCGAGTAGTACTAGATCAAGAAGGCGAGCGAGCGAGGGACCAGCTCGTGGACTCGACGAGATGAAGACGATGATCATGTTGAAGGACACGTTCATCTTTTTGATGAACGTGATGGCGTACGAAAACGGAGAGAAGACGCGGAACACGCTGGAGGTGGATTCCGACGATACGATCTACAACGTCATGGCCCAGGTGGAGAAGATGACCGGCGTCCCACCCGTCTTGTAGATGCTCGATCACCTTCGACGACAAATCCTTCTACCACGACACCCCCAGGACGCTGGCGGAGAATGAACTGGCGCCGACCTACCCGGATCCTATGCTCGGCTCCAGTCTTGGAGTGGTCGGCACCACTGCAAGACCTCTCGGCTCCGCTACAGGAGCGTTCAGCACCCGTCCTGGAGTGGTCGACACCACTGCAGGACCGCTCGGCACCCCTCCCGGAGTGCTCGGCACCGCCCCAGGAGTGCTCGGCTCTGTTGCTGGAGTGGTCGGCACCTCCTCTTCAGCGTCTCCACCACTGTGGATGACCAAGTGCTCGACGACTAAGGTGCTGGTGAAGCCGCCAGCTTCCCCCGTGCCAGGACTGTCCCAGTCACATGCCGCCTTCTCGTCGAACACGATATCGCGCGAGACAACCACCTTGCCTCCGCGTGGGTCGTAGAGCCGGTATGCCTTGGTACCTTTCGCGTAGCCTAGGAGCACCATCGGTGTGCTCTGGTCATCCAGCTTGGTGAGGACCGGCTTCGTCTTTCTGACGTGGCCGATGCAGCCGAATGTCCGGAGGATGGACACGGTAGGCTTGCGCCCATACCAAGTTTCGAACGACGTCTTGTCCTTTAGGGCCTTGGTAGACGCACGGTTGAGGATGAACACCGTCGTGGTCACCGTCTCACCCTAGAACCTTGCCAGCATGCTCTTGGCCTTCATCATGGATCGAGCCATGCTGACCACCGTCTGGTTCCGTCGCTCCACCACGCTATTTTGCTATGGCGAGTACGACACGGTGTGGTGTCGCACCACACCTTGATCCGCGTAGTACGCAACGAACTCCACCGAAGTGAATTCGCCGTCGCGATCAGTCCGCAGCATGCGCAGCTTCTTGCCGCTCTCCGCCTCCGCGCGCGCCTTGAGCTTCCTGATCGCCTCCGCAACCTCGTCCTTGCTCATCAGGAGTTGCAGCCATATATAGTGACTGCAATCATCCACGAGCAGAAGGAAGTACCGCCGACCACCGTTTGTGTCTGACGTGATTGGCATGCAGAGATCGTTGTGGACGAGCTCGAGAGCGTTCGTCCTGCGATACTTGGCCATTTTTGGGAATGGCAGCCTCCTCTGCTTCTTGGCCAGACAGCTGTCACACAGCTCGCCTCCGTGCTTGATGTGGGGCAGCCCTCGGGCCATCTTCTCTAGCCGACTGAGCGCGCCGAAGCTGAGATGACCGAACCGGGCATGCCATTGCCACGGCTCCTCGGTGTACCGTGCTGCCAGGCACACCGGTTGCTCAACCTTCAAGTCGAGCAGGTACAACCGGTTCTGGGACCTTGTCAACTTGGCAAGAAGGCACTCCTCTTGGTCCCTGATCCTAAGGACTCCGTCCTTGATCAGTACCTCGCTGCCGGGCTCATCCAGCTGCCCAATGCTGATGATGTTTGAACGCAGCTGCGGGATGTAATATACATTCGTCAGCGCGCAGTGCTCGCCGTTCTGGCACCTGAAGATGATGGTGCCGCGCCCTCGGATTGCCACCCTTGAGCCGTCACCGAACTTCACCGTGTTGGTCACGTTACCGTCGAGCTCGGAGAAGGCTTCCTTGGAACCCGTCATGTGGTTGTTGGCGCCGGAGTCTAGGTACCATTGCTGCTGCTTCTCGCCGCCCACACATCCGAGGTGGACTTGGGCACGTGGTTCGTCGAGGTTGACAGCCTTTAGAGCCTTCCCAGGCTCTTTCACCGCCATGACATCTCCCTTCTCCTTGGCCTCAACGTCGTACAGTGCACAGAACGACGCCATCAGGAGAGTGGCCTCATCATCCTCATCAACCTGCGCTAAATGGGCCTCAGTCTTCTTCTCTTGCTTACGATTTGGGCACTCCTTTGCCCAATGGCCCATCTTCCCGCAGCGCCGGCAGGCGTTGGGGTCAACCTTCTTCTTCTTCTCCTCCGAAAAAGCCTTGCTGCGACACTTGCCATCGCCACCGCGGCTAGAGGAGGCTTCTCTAGAGTTCCTCCGGGCAGCCCACTCCTCCTCTGTCAGGAGCACCTTGCCGCTATCCTTCGTTGCTGTGGCCTACTCCATGCGCTCATCCACCATCCGCAGACGGCCTGTCACATCATCAATGATGAGGGTGGACAAGTCTAGCATGGTCTCTATGGAGAGAGCGATTTGGATGTACTTCACCGGCATGGGGTGGAGGTACTTGGAGACCGCCTCTTCTTTGTCGATGGTGACACCGTGGCTCCTCAGCTTGCTGATGAGCGTTTACAGGCGGAGGGAGAAGTCCTCCACCGACTCACCATCCTTGAACTTGAGGTTGGCGTACTCCTGCTTCAGCAGTTGGTCCGTCGCCTTCTTTGCGCGGTCGAAACCGACGCGCATCGCCGCAATGGCCTCCCACGCCTCCTTAGCAGAGCTCTTCGCCCCCAACAGCTCCCTGTACTCCGCTGGCACAACAGCGAGAATGGCTTTCAACGCTGACATGTCGTCTTCTTCGTTGTCGGTGCCATTGTCAATGTCATTCCAAAGCCATCGGGCTCTGAGCTTGACCTTCATGGTCACCGCTCACTCGCCATAGTTGGGGCGAGTCATCGTCGGCCAACTGGTGCCGCTGACCTCCCGCACCGTGCGCACGACGACCTCCTGTCGTGGCTGGGCAGCCACAACAGCGCCGCTGCTGTCGCCCATCTTCGAACCATCCGTCATCGCCAGCGGTTAGTCCGACGACGGCGCTTGTACGGCTTCGATACCGCTTGTTGGCCCCTGGATCTGTGGCAAGGGGTGAGCCGACCACTCACCGGCGTTGCCGACCACACTATGGCTAGAGGTAGAAGAAGGAAGGGAGAACAGAGCGCACACATACAACACAAGCACCAGCGTTGGCCAGAGCTCTACAGAGGAGATGACAAACTGAACTCGCTCACTTTACTGAGTTGCAGTGGGAAATTATATATACAACTCTACTTATCTAATCCTAGTACACAAACATATCAGGCTGTCAAGCTGCTACAGTGACTAGATGTGATAGCAGGGCTGACTTTGGCGCCTGGCCCAATTATGGCTACAGTGCGACAGGAGAGCATTTCGGCACCTGCTTCTGCAATGACTACAGTGCGACATGAGAGCCTTTCGACTGGAAGCAGCAGATTACTTAGCACTGTTCCCGACGCGTCCGTGATGCTGCAGCTGGTCCGTCATGGCGAGAAGAAGATGATGATCTCCCTGAGGGACAACATCAGGATGGATGGAGCCGGGAGGAGG